GGAAGATATGGAGGCAGAGACAGATTTTACTTTCTTGGGCTCTATGATCACTGCAGATGGTGGCAGCAGCCATGAAATTAAAAGACGCCTGCTTCTTGGGAGGAAAGCGATGACAAACCTAGACAGCATCTTAAAAAGCAGAGACATCGCCTTGCCAACAAGGGTCTGCATAGTCAAAGCTATGGTTTTTCCAGTAGTAATGTATGGAAGTGAGAACTGGACCATAAAGAAGGCTGACTATTGAATAATTAATGCTTTTGAATTTATTTATTTATTCAATTTATATGCCGCCCACACTGGAGGAGACTCTTGAGAGTCCCCTGGACTGCAAGGAGAATAAACCTATCCATTTTGAAGGAAATCAACCCTGAGTGCTCCCTGGAAGGACAGATCCTGAAACTGAGGTCATCTCATGAGAAGACGTCCTGGAAAATACCCTGACATTGGGAAAGTGTGAAGGCAGGAGGACAAGGGGACGACAGAGGATGAGGTGGCTGGACAGTGTCATCGAAGCAACCAACATGAACTTGACCCAACTCCGGGAGGCAGTGGAAGACAGGAGGGCCTAGCGTGCTCTGGTCCATGGGGTCACGAAGAGTCGAACACAACTAAACGACAACAACGTGTTGCCACTCAATCAATTCACATACCAGATTGCTAGGCTTCGCTAATGATGGGCACTTATTTGCAAAAATGTCTTGCTAAGCCTTTAATGAGACTCAGGCTCCTATTTGTGGATGGATTAAGGGCCAGTATGCCTGTTTTTGTCTAAGAAGGACAACAGAATAGTAATGCTCTGCACTCCCATGCTTTGCTACTCACAATTACTTCCAGAAAGAAAAGGAAAAATCAGTCATGGAAACATCCCAGTCTACAACCAGGTACCTTTTTCTGTGACACAGTACGAAAGTTATACAGCAATCAGGTGTGAGCTAGTTAATCAAAGCTGGCCAAGGGTAGGGGATCTACACTAATTTAAAACCCACCTTCTGATTTTAATAGTGTCCTGAAAAAACAAATTGTTGTCAAAGCCCAGAGCACACATAAAATTAAATGGCAATAACCACACATATGGTGCGGTACTATTAGCTGCTTTTCCAGTGATTAATATGGTCATGTCCATCTAACTATACATCACAGACAACTGAATGGAGTGATCAAAGTCTATCCCTCATGGCTGTTAGGAGAAATCTGATGCCTCACCTCTCTCCTTTGGCAGTAACAACAACAACAACAACAAAAACAGATAAACAATCTGTTGCTTATCGAAGATGACCAAGAAGAAGAGCGTTTGAAAGAAAGCCTTGATACAGAACAATTTGAGGAAATAAGTGTGGGGAAAATCCCACACACACACCTCTCTTATCCTTCCACATGAACAATTTAAAAGACAAGCAAAAATATCATCCATCTGAGGAAAGCACCAACATTGGGGGGGGGGGAGAGCAAGCCTGGGTCTGCAGAGCAGGAAGGGATAAAGTGAAAAAAAGCAAAAGATTATAAAAAAAAATAGCAACACTAAAAACACTCACCAAATTTCTGACATCATAGCCACATTGTGTGTTCACAACATTTTGCTGGAAAGAGGGGGGAAATGAGAATAGGTGATCAACTCTAGAAATACACAATGCAAAGTACTGAAGGCTACAATACTGTTGTTGTAGTTGTTATCCCGCCATATATATCCCACCATTCTCTCTCAGCATGAACACTGAGCATGCTGGCTGGGAGATTCTGAGAGTTGCAATCAAAAAAATGAAGGGTGGGCAAAAGGGTCATATTCCAAGATCTCTCCCCCCGCCTCATACTCATCCCTATTGGTAAACACTTCCCAATATATAACAATACTGTATTAATACAGAAGAAGGAAGACAGGAAATAGCTCACAGCTGGATCTGGGATACAGCAGGAAAAAGGGACCCCACATCTCTCACGACTTTTGCTTGTGCTACTGCAGTTGAAATAGACGTTAAGGTCCCAGTCATTTGGACCCTGGGCACCACAGCACTGATTCTGCAAAAGATAAAATCACTTTGTCATTACAAGAGGGATACAATGAACTATTTAATATGTACAATTCTTCCCCGGGCTGGAGATCCAATGATCACACCAGAATTGTTAATAACATACACAGAGTATTTCCTCCCCACAACAACGCATTTGTTTTGCTCATTTGTACACCACTCAGAATAGTGTGAATTCACTAATTGAGTGGTAAATACGTACATTAAATAAATGATAAATATTTCATTGATCACACTGCAATGGACAACCTTTGGTCTTCTACATGTTGTTGGACTTCAACTCCCACAACCACTCACAATTGACTCTGCTGGCTAGGGCTGATTGGAGTTGCAGTTCAACAATATCTAGAGGGATACAAGCTGCCCACTTCTGGATTACACGGACATTTAGTACCATTACTAGCACCAGTTAAGTTCCCAGTGTTCTCTCTATTTCTTGTTTCTTTGATTATTCACTAAAGCGCCTGGTGAAATGCTGTCAAACAAGGGGCTAAAGCAGTAGTTCTCAACCTTGGTTCCTCAGATGTTCTTGGACTACAACTCCCAGAAATCCTGGTCAGCACAGGTAGTGGTGAAGGATTCTGGGAGTTTTTGTCCAAGAACATCTGAGGACCCAAGGTTGGGAACCACTGGGCTAAGGTATTTGAAACAAAAAGAATCAAGGATGCACAAATGAAGAAGGAAGTGAGAAAACAAGGATGCAGCTTCTTAAGAGCCTATCAAACCCAGGATCAGCTAATCTGCCACCATTGTTTCCATCTTGTCCAAGCTTGTGTTGGGATAGTTAGTCACATTCATGCCCATTAACCTGCTACTGCTCAATTTTGACAACTCATGTCTCCTCCTCCTCCTTTAGAAAGGAACACAACTACTAGTTGCACAAAATCCTGTTGTATAAATTACGCCAGCAAAAGACAGATGACATCACTGATTAGAGGAGATGGCCAGCAATTAAAGTGATTAGTTTCGATTCCAGGACTCATACAACTTGCATGCAATGAGACTGATTGTGCACAAGTCATGCAAGATCTGGGATCAAAGCAGGAACTCTTTAATTAGCAACAATTTACTGCTGGTGGTGATCTCAACTCCTTTTTGCGGCATTAAATTGATTGGGGCCAATGTGTATATCAAGTATGATTTTAAAAAAATATCTTACGATTTTCTGCAATGAATCTATGAGGTTCTGCAGGTCAATGTCATCCCGGTAAGATTTAATGTTGTTCTTGAAGAATGTCTCCACTCGGTCTCTCACCCAGTCTTGGAACAAGAAAGCCAGCACAACTACTGCTAACTCCATGAGAAAAATTAGCACAATTGTCCCACAGAACTGCAAAGAAGAGAGGAGGGAGAAACCAATTATAGGAAGAGGAAAAAAAACAGGTCAGTTGTTGTCCAGCAGTGTTTTAGGGAACAGGAAAGGTTTCTCAAGATCTTCCCAAATATTCCTCAATAGGAAGATCAGTAATTGCAATCACATTTCTCTGGCAAATAAGCTCACTCACTGGTAGTGATCTTCCACAGTAAATATACAGGGGATGGGAGAACATCCAGTCCATTTTACTGTACATTCGATTCACATGTACCAGGCTAATTCCCCATGAGGGTTCCAGCACATGCCCAGAATGCTGTGCAACATATTAGGGTTCCTCTGCCAATTGTGAGATAAATGGGTCTCTTGAAGGTACAAAGCCTGAAAAACTCTCTCGTAAGCCAACAAAGCTTTCCAATGTAGAACTTGCTAAAGAAACAAACAGCCTATCTTGATTTGGCAACAAGAAGGCGCACAAACGTATGGTTGGGCTACTCTTATGTTTCAACAAAATCTCTCTTGCACACACAAACACACCAACCAACCTTGATAGGACCTCCCCAACCCTATGAAAGAACTGTAGTTTTTGGTTGTAGCAAACTGTGAAATGTGTTAAGACACTGTGCCACAACACATTTTACTGCTAAACTTATTTACCTATTAATTACTTGTTTGTTTAGATTTTCACCCTGCCCATCTAGAGGCAAGGCCACTAATTTTGGGCAACTAATAACAACCAAGCAAAATAGAGCACCCAAAAAGTGAGAACTTAAAAGATAAAGATATTAATTTCCTTGTAACTCACATATCAATTTATTTAAGCAAAGGAAAAAAACTGGATATGTTTTTATTTCTCTTAAAGAATCATAGAGCTTTTTCTCTCTATTCTGGTAATTCACAATTAATTAGTGTGTACTTTCAGAATCCCCTATCCTTTTGAATTCTGTCTATACTAGTGAATTAATTTCAACTAATATACAAGACATACAGATAAAATTAGAAGACCAATATGCTTGAATACACAGAAAGACCATGTGGGTTGTTAACTACCTTTATCATGACAACACTGAAAACAGATGCTGCTCTGCTCCCGCTCTATAAAAATATCACCATATGTGATAATATCAAGATTACCCTTTTCATCCCTCAGACATCTCCATGTCCACCACTGCTATCCTTCTCTTTCGATGACATCTAAGTTAGTGGCCATTGCTCCATTTTGTGGTGACAGCTGACAGACATCACTTCTCAGTCTGGCCACCCACAATTCTGTCGGTGGTATAAAATGTCATGCTTGTAATGTGTCTCTTGAATGTTTAGAACCACATTGAAGTTGCTTAGGGTTTTTATGGTTAGGGGTTGCTTCAGTAAACTTTAAAAGAGCTTTTCATTTCTATTATTTGAGTGCATACTAGCCTATTTCCAAGCCAACCAAACTGACAATTTCACATTTTTATTGTTCATTCTCTTGGATGTTTTATTACAAAAACATGGCTCATATTTTTATTACACAAATACATTTTAATATTGTTTATTTCCAAACCCAAATATATAGATTTTTCACTATTATTGTTGAGAGTATGAAGGAGACATAGTCCAGACTTGCACTTCTCGCTGTTACATGAAAAGTTTATCTTCACTAGTTAATTTTTTCATTACAATATTATTTTTCACTATAATAACATTTCAGAATCAAATTATAAACCAAACCCATAAAGTTATCACACCACTGAATAAAACTGGTCTTCACTGATTCACCAGCTAAAGAAGGAACAGCTAGCTATATCCTGCAGATATTGTTGGATCAAACATGGTGGTTAAAATTCAGTGATATTTCAAAACCAACTGGATTTAAATCATGATTTAATTTTTTTTTATTTTTAAAAAATTTAAATCACTTAAAAACATCTTATTTTTGGATTTAAATCCAGCCTGATTCCAAATCCCATCTTTCCTCACCATTCACTATGCTAGTTAGGACTGGTAGGAGATGCAGTTCAACAAAATCTGAAGGGTCAGATTTTACCACCCCTATAATAAAACTTTATTGATTCGTGTTCTGTTTTAAACATTGTACTCTGAGATACATTCACTCAACCTAGTCCTACCAGACTCGCACAAACAAAATTTCTACATAATGAATCCACATAAGGTAATGACAGACAGACCAGTACTTCAGATGTGTTGACTTTTTCTCTAATGACACCATGAAGCCACCTATCCTGGATAGCTCAGTGGTTTAGATCTCTGGCTGCAGAGACAGAGGTTGGGGGTTCAATTCCCCCCTGCGCCTCCTTGACAGGTACAGGACTTGATAATCCGTAGGGTCCCTATGCAGCTCTTCAGTTCTAGGATGATGGTGGTGATGATGAATACCACACCAGAATAACAGATGTGAAGCACAAAACATAAAGTCTACGATTTAACCACTTACAAATTTCAGGAGGCAGATGTTCTCTCGCAGGGCTCCGACACAGCCTGCAAATCCCAGAATGAACATTATCCCTCCAACAAATAAGATAAGGACCACAGGGTCAAAGCCATGGAGACGGGTCATTTTAGACAAGTCCGACAAGACACCCTAAAACATTAAAAAAAAGAGTGAAGTTCTGATCCACTTGTACTTAAAAAAATATATCCTACAGTATGAATCTGTATACCTCACTGAAAAGCAGGGTTGTGTGCATACCAAGATTCCACAGCAGTGTACAAAACAGTTAAGTAGGAATAGAATACAATTCCCTAAGCAGCTCAACTCACTCAGTCTCTTGTCATACTCCTTTTAAAGCAAATATGACAGATGTATGTTTTTAGTCCTCATGGCTATAAAGCTATGCTTGAGAAAATGTGTATTCAGCAGGAAGAAAGATGACTCCAAGGCTTGAGATGTCTTCTCCTACAGCCAATATCTTCTTCATCACAGGACAGTGATGCCAAGGGACAAGCCAGATACTGCTCCTGTTGGTTCCAATGAGACTTGTGCTTGCAAATGAATGTCCTGGATTTACTTCCTTATGGAAGCTCAGAGCCCCACCATACGTGGAACAAAATGCTGTGTGTGTAACAAAAGAGTTATAAGATGCTGGTTCCTGTCCAGAAGCAATTCCAGAATTTTTAAAATTTCTCCCTTTGCATAACATATACAGTATAGGTAAAACAGAACTCTGCTTTCTTGGCAGGGCATTTCTGATATATGAGAACAGAACTTTAGTTATCAAACCCAAAACAAATGTGCAGAAATAAATAAAACCAAGCACAACCTTAGCAGATACACTCTTGTTCACAAACCAAGAACAGACTTTTAATCAAGGTCAGAGAAAATTGCGAGTTAACATTTTAATTTAAAAATTATTAATTGTTGCAACTTTTTATATAAACAAAACTGGAAATAATATACACCTTGAATTCCATTTGAGAGTTCAGGGTTGTATCATCTAAGAACTTACGGCTGTGCTATCAGGTTCACTACTATATTACAAAGATTATATCTGATAAATTAAGTGTGCATGAAAATAGTTGTTTAACAGAGGAATCCAAATATGTATGTATTTGGATAACCACAAATCTTGACTATGTTTTCAGCTGACAATAAACCTCCCTCAAGTTGCTGGTTCTCAAACAAAGTGCGACAAAGAAAAATAACAGGAAAGGGGCATGTCTGCATACACACAAAGTTTAGTGTATGCCCATTCCCAATAAGATGGGTAGTGGAGTTACTTTTGCTTTGTGACACATCCCTCAACTGCAAGACACCTGCAGACTAGGAAGACATTTATCTCAACTGCAAAACAGCATACAAAGATCATTTCACATGTTACACTGGTCCTGCCTACACATTCAAGTATCAGGAGTTTGGGAAACCAAATTCTTTTGGCCCACAACACTGAGACTCCTTCAACCAGCAGGACTAGTAAAGCATGTGGGGATTCTGGGAGTTGTAGTGCTGGAGATCTGAAGGAGGGCCTCTCCTTAGATAAACCTGCCCAGTCACTAAGATCTGCTGGGGAGGCTCCTCCTCTATGCCCCACCATTGAGAACAATTCTGTTTGCAGAGGCATGGAGGCAGGGCTTCCTCGGGGTTAGCACCTCAGTGGTGGAATGTCCTCCCCCTTAGAGGCCTGATTGTTGCCGACTCTGGCATCATTCTGGCGCCAAGTCAAGGCATACTTATTTACTGGAGTCTTTGGGGGTTGAGGACTGTGCTCCACATAAGTTTTAAGGCAATGGTTCTGATGTTTAAATTGCTTGATTCTAAGGTGTTTTTAATTATCTCAGAATTGTTTTATGCAGCTCTGTAACCCGCCTTGAGAACCTATAATATAGGGCAAGCTATATATGTTTTAAATTAATGAATAAAATAGTCCCCCAAGGTGACTTTTTTGACCTCCCTTAAATATGGAAAATGGGAATATAACACTGATCTGTATGTATTTCCAACACACTTGGAAATACACACAGATCAGATGGCAGCTTGTCAGGGAGGCAGGAACAGCTTTAGCACCTGGCCATGCTCACACAGGATAGCAAACCCAGGTTCATCACAGTGAAATGACCTTAAAATAGCCATTCCACCAGCACAGCCGTGGGCCTTGCATCAAAAATAAGCCACCGCTAGAGGGCACTAATAGGCCGAAGAATCTTGGTATGATTTTTAATGCTGTGTTGGAAACCGAAGTTAAGTTTAGCTCAACCCAGTCTTCAGAGGTACTGGATTACAACTCCCATGATCCTCAGCCAGCACAGGTATTCTGGTAGGGATGATGGGACTGGAAGCTGTGGGGACGGATGGGGTAGGGTTAGGGTGTACATAGAACATCTCCTAGCATCCTTACTAGCCCGCCTTAGCCCACTCCAAAACAGTGTTGGAAACCGAAGTTAAGTTTAGCTCAACCCAGTCTTCAGAGGTACTGGATTACAACTCCCATGATCCTCAGCCAGCACAGGTATTCTGGTAGGGATGATGGGACTGGAAGCTGTGGGGACGGATGGGGTAGGGTTAGGGTGTACATAGAACATCTCCTAGCATCCTTACTAGCCCGCCTTAACCCACTCCAAAACAGGAGAGAGAGAGAGAGAGAGAGAACAAACACCATAGCAACTGTTTTCTCTTGTATCTGGGACATTGCCAATTTTGCATGAGGCTTTAGGCATAATCTCTAATTTAACTCATATGTAAATATACCAAATAAGCCTTTGTCTTCTCACTCTGTGCCCTGACCTGCAAAATCTACCATCACCCTATGTTTAACTGCAGCGCTGCCAGCATGTATAAATCATAACCAACAACGTGAAAGAACAGAATTTTAAAAGGAGCATAAGATAAAAGGATGCTACCACCTGCACTTTCCAAATTAAATGTTCCAGATAAACCAAGGTATCAAACAGAATGCCTGAGGCACAGAGGTAGAAAAAAGGCCTTTGCTTTTACTCGTAATTTAAGATTTTCTATTTTCTTTCACAAAGCCAATTTTCATACATAATAATTGGAAGGTTTTTTTTAGTTGCTATTCAAAAACATCCTGTTCCAACATGGCTGCCAAACTTTGCTCTGACACCTTCAAAATGTCTTCCTCCAAGGTTCCCAGACACATTTTGCAATCCCTTCAAGGTATAGGTGGGGGTTAATATTGTGCACTAGAGATGGGCATGAACAAAAAAGAACCAGGAAATGCATGGAAAAATCACTGGTTCATGATGTTCCCAAACAGGAGAACCCGAACCACCAACTTTTTTGTGTTTTCCCGGACTTCCTGCTTCGTTCCCCTGCCCCCTTCCAACTGCGCCCCCCATCCTCTTTCCTTCCTTGTCTTTTGCTGCCACCTCCTCCGCTGCTCCCACCATCTTGACAGGCCACCCAATGGCTCCCGCAGGCCAGGCTGCCTCTCCTCTGAGAAATGGGGGCATCAGCAGAGGCAACCAAAAAATCCCACGGCCCCCATTGCCTCCCTACCTTTTGTTGCCACTGCCTCCTTAGCGGCTGCCACCACTGTGGGGAGCAGCCCATCTGACTCTCAAAAGGCTGGGGTGCATCTGAGCAGCCTCTCAAAAAAAACCCCAAAACAAACAAACAAAAAAGTCAAGATGGCAGCGGAGGTGGTGGCGGCGGCAGCAAAAGGTAGGGAGACAACAAGGACACAGATATTTATTTATTTATTTATTGAGGGGTGGTGGCCATTTTATAGGGCTAACAAGCCGATCTTTGGTTCGTTCAGTAAACATTTGGAAATTCGTAGTTCATGGACCTGGATGAACTGCACACTGAGACAAACTGCCATTTTGCTGGTTCATGCGCATCTCTACTGTGCACCATTAGACAAAATGTCCAACTCAAGGTAATTTATGGCAAATCAAATCGTAGGTAAATCCTATTGATTCAAATGAGTTTCTTAGTTAGAGTTCAGCATCCACCCTTCAGGATGATTCCAGCATTCTCTTGGCAACACAGAAGTAACTTGAACACTCCAGGAAGTATGTCCAGGTTTCACATGCATAATGTGGATTATTGCCGAGATGAAAATCAGGAATCCACACCGGGGGTGGGAATAAGGGTACCCCATGGCTTCCTGTCAATTAAATGCCTGAACAGAGTCTGACAAAAAAAAATCCTGCATGTAACTTTCCAGCTCAGTTCAGTGGGACCCAAGTAAGTGCACCATAGCCCTGCATCCTAAGACTGCAGTCCTCAAAGCAACCCAGGAATTAAGTCCCACTGAACTCCATCGGATTTTTCTTTTCCTAAGGAGAAACACACAGGATTGCTCTGCAAGTCTCTTGGTGTTGTCTAAAAGGGAAAGTAGATTTGGAAATTAGGCATGGAGGCAGAAAAAGGGCACAGTTAGGATTCTCATGCAGAAGTCTTGTGGCACTTCAAGAGTATGAACTTTTAATTTGGCATACATTCTGGTAGACTGTACCCTGCTTCTTCAGATGCTTTCTTAGCTTCTGAAAAAATGGGCTAGAGCCCAAGACAGGTCAAGTAAAGCTTGCCACTCATAAAAGGGCTATAAGACTCTTATTTCGGTTGCAAAAGATTAAGAAAACAAGCCTTTTGGGAAGAGGATGAGTGAGCATGTGAGTCTGTACATTTGGGTGTGGGCAAGGGAAAGACAGCGAAGGAAATGGGGGGAGAAACACACACACACAAACACGGGGGGGGGGAGAGATTTACAATTTGTTAGGGAGTTGAGACTTTATTCTATGGGACAAACAGTCACAGTTCTCTTACCTTCTCACTCCACGCCCAAAGACCAGCTCCAAGAAAGGCAACTCCAGCTAACTAAAATAAAGAGGAGGGAAAGGTAGTTTTACTGTTTGCTGGCATGCATTATTTCATCATTGCTTCTCACCTGTTTAAAAGAAAAATCATTATGATGCAGTATATACATCATGTTTGCTAATGGGATGGAGCAAGAGACATGGTTAGTAAAACACCCGATACAAGGCATCGAGAGCTTATGTATATGAAAAGCTTCATTCCCAGAGGACATTTCTGCATCTGCTGCCACTATTATTGCAGCTCCTATCAGGTATAAAAGGAGTTACACAAAGTCTCAGGAGTTAAATGTAATCCAAAAAATAAATTCGAAGCACAGTGACTGATGGAAGTCTATCTGTGTTGGCTCTGGTCTTCTAAAAAAGAGACGTTGATACTGTACTATGGTTAAACCAGTGGTTCTTAACCTTTGTTACTCGGATGTTTTTGAACTGCAACTCCCAGAAACCCCAGCCAGCACAGTTGGTGGTGAAGGCTTCTGGGAGTTGCAGTCCAAAACTCCTGAGTAACCCAAGGTTAAGAACTAGTGGTCTAACTGAAAGACTGGTCCTGAGATTGCAGGACTATGGATTTTGGTTCCATGCTCAGTCATTGTTTCTCTGGTCCTTTTAGCATTTACTAAGGATTCTGAAGTCTTTTTGTTTTGCTTTTCACTGTGAACCCTG